ATATATATATATATATATATATACCTATATATATATATATATATATATATATATATATATATATATATATATCTATATATATATATATATATATATATATATATATATATATATATATATATATATATATATATATATATATATACATATATATATATATATATATATATAGGTATATATATATATATATATATATATATATATATATATATATATATATATATATATACCTATATATATATATATATATATATATATAGGTATATATATATATATATATATATATATACATATATATATATATATATATATATATATATATATATATATATATATACCTATATATATATATATATATATATATATATATATATATATATATATATATATATATATATATATATATATATATATATATATATATATATATATATATATATATATATATATATATATATATATATATACTATAATTCTAACTATAAATCTAATGTCCAATTTGCCGAATAATAAAATTTGTAGGGGGGCTACGACATTTTTTTTGTCGGCAAATTGCGCCCCTCCCCCTTGGTGTATGTAACTTCACTGCGACTAGGGCTATATTAGTCAATTTATTTTCGCATTGATTATTATTATTGTGTAAAATTTTAAAAATATAAATAATAAATAAATACAGTTATAATTAAACGACCATAATAGTTAAAACATATAAAGCAACTTTGAGGTACATCAAGATACAAAAACATATTCTCTTAAAATACAAAAAACATTAAAATCCAAAAAATTGCACTCTTACGCGCCTTGAACAACGTTGAAATGATCTTCCACGGTTAACCAAACGTTCTGCGCCAACATATCGCGACGTTAGAATTATCTTGTGCTATCTCCATGTTTTTGCAAACTGAGAAAATCGATGTCAAAGTTTGAATTTGTTCGCAGCTAAATTGAAAAAATATTTTGAGAATTTAGGTATTTCCTAAGATTTAAAAATGTTTTATTATTAATTTTTAGATAAAAAAAACTTTTTAAAATTACGCTAACGCTCTTTTTTTCGCACCCTCTTTTGGAGATAGAACAAAATAACTTTGGTTTTTAGTAAAATTCAAAAATATTATGTTGTTACATCATATATATTAAACATATTAAGTACATTTTTCAACGACATGTTAGAAATTGATGAAATTTTGTTCTACCTGCTAATTATTCTTACGCAGTACCATACACTCCTAATTTATGGGCATGGGCCCCTAAATTAGGGGCATGGGCCCCTAATTTAACGGGACCCCTTTCAAAATATAAGACGCTTTTTGTATTACCTAAAAAATTAAGTTTTTTTAAATAAAATGAGGCCCTAATTAGGAGAACTTTTAGAAGAGCCTCTAACAACACTGTTCTTACGACTTACATTTACTTTAATTACCTGTAGGCGCCGGCCCTGGACAAGACTAAGACGTCTAATTTAAAACGGAAAATTTGGCTGCGTAATAATAATATAAACGTATTAATATAATATAAACGTATAAAATAAATTATGAAAGGTATATAGGAAAGAGTTATGTTAAAAAAAATGTAATAATAAAAGAAATAACATTATGTAACTATCTGATAATTCACAACAATTCAACTAATCTAATCACAAACTCCATGCAAGATGAACTTGATTTTATTTTTCTTATGCCTGTGTATCCATTAATAGAGTTTAACTTTTTATTAAAAGTTATTGCAAATATTTACAAATAAAAAATTGTTACTCAAGTTAACGTCAGGAAGGGCATCAGGTTGTGAAACATTGCTTTAACTCTTTCATAGTGGCCTTTATGTCACTATGGAAAACCATCCAAACCAAACAAGTGGGGGAGAATGAATATAAAAGTACAAAAAAACAAACAAAAAAAACACAAGCTAAACAAAAATTTTTATCAAGATTTCAAAATAATATTATTTCAATGTGTTTTATATTTATATTTATACTAAATAAATATTTTATTTAAATATGTTATTTATATGTATATTATTTATATTATTATTATATATATATAAATATGTTATTTATATTTATACTAAACATATAACAACCCTAAAAATATTTTGACTTTATTAATGTTTTGTAAATGTTCAATTTATTATTGTTTTATAAAATGCAATATCAACAGCAGGCATGTATGAATACATGGAAATGATATCATTGGCTTTTGCAACAGATATAGACTGATAAGAAGCACGAAAGCAAGCTGCCATTGGTATATTGGTATTTAATGGTTTTGCAACAATGGTTGATGCTGCTTTCTTGACAGACTTATTTATACGAGCTTGTGAATAATTATCTGAAAACGAGGTTTTAAAAAAAAACATGGTATGGCAGTCCGTTTCGATAAACAAGATTTTTAACCTTTGAATAAGGCACTAACTTATAACTTGACAAACCAGCGACAACTGAAAAATTCTTTACATCTCCTAATTGCATTTGGTAAACACAGAAAGGTTTTTTACGGTTTACATTTTTAATAGCTCTTTCTAGCCCAAGTGGACTAAATATTTCTGCAGCAGAGAGGGATTTTTCAATCTGATTATGAATGTTGTCACATTCTTGAATGCTGGAATGACCTGGCTCGCAGAACTTCTGTTCAATTACTTTTATTTGTGGGTATCGTATTATAAATTCACACAAAGCTGCTGACATGAAACTATTGCGGTTTTGTGGTACACATGAATCGAACCAAAGTATGAACTTATTTATGTCAAGGTCAGCCATGATTTTCAAAAGCAAACATGTTACAGCACTGGCTAGATCATTTCCTCCACGACCAGTCATAGCTTCGTGCCAAAGGATGCAATAACCCTTCCTGTTAATCGAGCAATGACCAGTTAAGTTATAATTTGAAAGTTTTCGTTTGTAATAAAAGTTTCCCACATTAGCTCTAGGCAAATTTAAAACAATTTCAAGGTCAATACAAACAATTGCAGTTTTAGAATCAACATTTTGGCGATCATTTTCACGTTCAGTTTTGGTATCATTCCTTGATTTTATGTGCTTATTATAACTATCTGTTTGTTCATTGCTTGCATTAACAATGTTGCGATACTCATAGCATGTGTCACATAAATCTTTCTTCGGTTTTTGAAATTCTATATTGAACTTGTGATTAAAGATATAACGATACATATGTTCTTTTGCTGGAGGAGAGACATTTTCATCACAATATATTTTATAAAGATCATACATTCTACCTATATTTAGTGATCCTTCCATGTATTCTTTATGTGTCTTTTTTCTGCTATAATGAGCATCAATTCTTGGGAAAAGGTTAATATGGTCTCGTACAACTTGTTTAGACTCTTCTAGTAACCTTTTTTTAACATGTTTCCCTGATTTTGATTGCAATGGTGTTCCAGTAGTTAAAGATTTATTAAACTTATGAAAGTAAAACACTCTATGGCTGCTAATATTCAATGCTGAAAGATAATATGATTTACAAACTCTATATTGTGTATTAGAAACAAAAAAGCTATAATAATAAGATATTTTTCTTCTTGAATTGTCACCAGCAGCTGTCCGACAGCGTTTTTTCTCCAGATTTTCAGTAGTTTTAGAATAGAAATGTTTTTTTCCGTCATCATCTAAGGTCCAAAAGTTATCAAATATTATTTGACGCTCAATCTCAGATATATTTAAATTTACAATTTCTGCAACTTTTTAGTGCAACAATAGATCTTTTTGGCATTTGTTCTCCTTTCGTATTTTTATAAGCTTTACCCGACTGACGTTGAATTTTTCTTACACTTTGTTTCCAACTACTCCTATCAGCTTTACGTTTCCTAGAAACCTCACCATGGGGCGACCGACGAGAAGGTGTAATGCCAAGCAGCTCTAACGATTAAAATATTAATTTTTTATTATCCAGGATGTATAAATAATAACTTTTAAATTTAATCTAAAATGGCACAAGCGAAAGTCGAATTCTACTTTTCCAAAATTATAATACAAATTAAGTTGAAAAACTACCTTCGTTTTGATTTAGGGCAGGTTCCATTTCTTGGTCAATATTTGCAGTTGCCATTTTGAAAACAACAAAACTGATAAAATTATTCCGAACAACTTTGTAATTGTAATATGATAGATAGAACAAGATAATATTTTCAAGTTTGCTCATTAAGGAGATAGAACAATGCAATATTGCATGCAATACCGTGTTAAAAGTTTCATTTTTTTTCAATATAATTAAAGTAGAACAACACAATGCTAAAATATTCGAAAATAATAAAATCTCAATTTTTTCAAAAATTGGAGATAGCACAAGATAATTCTAACGTCGCGGTATTGCGTTAGCAAAAAGTTAAATAATAAATGTTTTTTCGTATTAGTGTTTTAGTGGCATGTTTATTCTTACGCGCGTTCAAATAATGACTTTCAAAGTAATATTAAATAATAATAATTAAATTTGATATGTATTAAAATGCAATTATTAGAAAAGTATAAGCAGCTAAGAAATCTAATATCATCGTATTTAAAACAACACAAAAAATTTTTGGAGGAAAGGGGTACAAGTTTTTTGCGTAATTTTGGGGGCAGGAGGTAAGTAAAACGTGATTTTGAATTTGGTACTAGGGGAGAGGGGGGGAAGGTCGAGGATGGGGTCCGAAATTGTTGACCTAATTTACGAACGATAAGAATAATAAATTTTTAAAATTGCGTTTTCACGGTGAAATCGAATAGTAACAGTTGTAGTTCTTAGAAAAATCATATTTAAACCAACTACGTCATTCAAGTTACGCATAACAACAACTTAAATTAATTTGCTAACAGTCTAAACTATTCGTAATTGTAATGTAATTACATAAATACTGGTTGATGACACTGTATTTTATCAGTATGATAAAACAGATTTGGCTATTATAATTACTTTTTTTAAATTTTTTTTTGGTATATTTGATTTGATTTTTGCAGATCCATTTTTTCAAAAATTGCAACGATAAGTGATGAATGCCTTTAATTATTTTAGGAAACAAAAAATATAATATACGCATAATGTATTGTATTTTTTGAAAGATGAGTACACGTTTTGCATCAAGGAATAGAGTTTTGGAAATCTTGAAAAATTATTTTTGTTGTTAAAGTTAATAAGTATTAATGGAGTGTGCAATAAAAGAGAAGAGTTGCAAAACTGTTGGATCCAGTAACTTAAATATTATTCAGCAATATTACAAAGATGCTCTTAAGTAGTTTTTCTATTTCTTTTTTAATTTAACTATTATACTATATATTTGAACCAAATATCAAAATGCAGTATTATATTGGGTCTGTGGGAAAATAATTATTCTTGAACTAAAATAAAAGATTTTTGTTTCAACTTCTGCCTAAGTACAGCATATTTTCAATACTTATATATTTTTTTTTTTTTCTCTATATAACAAATATGTACGAACTTATGATAGTATATAGGTGGAAAGTCTGGTTAATGTTGTGTCGAAAAGAATATTTATAACTAAGTTGCTCAGCTTCTTCTTTTTTCTTTTTGCATAAATTTGTGCTCTTATTTTAAGATTGTTGGTTGCAGTATAAAGTATTGAAATTAGCATAACATTTTTTTTTTAATAAATAATTAGGCATGAACCATTACAAATTGAATCTTATTTTATTTGAAATTAAAATTAAATCAAAATACAAACTTTGACTAACAACATAAATGCACGGAAAATATGCATGGTACTACCATGTATCTGATGGAGTAAAAGTTCTGTATCTCTTGCTTAAAGAGTTAGGACTCAAGTATAACCTCATAATCTCATGTTTTACAAAGACACATATATATTCGTACAAAATAAGTATGTTTATATACTTCTACTTAATATGTAATTTATTAATAATTTTAAATGAAAGTTACGGTACTTAATATCAAAAAGGCTTTTATTTTTTCACTTGCCCAATCAGTACTGCAAATTTAAAAGATGTCTGAAAAACTTTTATGGATATAGGTCTGTTGCTGCTGGATTAAATCTAGAAGAAGGTTCTGAAAAAATTAATGAGGCTATTGCTTCATACAGAAATGGTAATTTATTTGTATATTGTTTATATATTGTTAAATAATGTCCAAAAACTTTTACATATTGTTGAAAAATTTTTAAATGCTATATTAATTTATAATAATACAATTATATAATAACACAATCATGCCCACGCTGATATATAAATATATAAATATATATATATATATATATATATATATATATATATATATAATATATATATATATATATATATATATATATATATATGCTTTTTTATTTACTTGAAAGTTTTAGAACTTAATTTTGTGTTTTATGTCACAGTTTAAATTGTCGTTTTTGACTAGCCATTTTGAAGCAATATTCAATGACATGATTAGGTAATGGAATTTATTAATTAATTATTAATATATACTAGCTGAGATCAGACCCGTAAAAAAACGAGTCAGTCATGTGGAACTTGTGATCTAGACAGCATTCCTGTCACACACCTACAAAGTGTTCTCTGGAACTCTGCTCATTACTTTCTAAACTATACATCAAGTGCTTATATGACTCTTATTTTTTTTCCTGCTAGAAAATACATCTTTGGTTTCAATTTCAAAACTCTGAAAATCGCCTAATTAGTGTTCTTGCTATTATATTTCAAAGTGTTTAAATCTTAAATTGACAAACCTTTAGTGTTTGAATCTTTAATTAACAAACTTCTAATATCTAATCTTGAGTCTAACTACTTATTCTCTCAAATCAATAAGGATTTCGATTCTCTTGTTCTACCACTGGCTTAACAACTGTCATAACAGAAAGATTGTATTTTGCATTAGTTAAAGGCAGTGAGGCCAGGGTTATTAATTAAAGGCTTTAGTATTGTTATCAACTTTGACTAAGTTGACTACAAGTCAAAAGTAGAAAGTCAACTTTGTAGTAGAAAGTAGAAAGTCAACTTTGAAAATTCAATTTAATTGACTATGGACTTTCTACTAATTGTCTAAAAGTCGATTTAGTTGAGTGAAAATCTTAAAATCTTTATATCTTTTAACTTTTCAATCTTTATTTTTTGTTTGTTCATTTAATAACAATAGTATGTACTATTATAACTAATATATAATCTTGTATTATAATCTAGTTTTTTATTTATTCTTTTAAAGTTTTATCTAATTCATAATAATTTATAATTAATTAAACTTTTGATTATATATTTCATTAATTTTTTTTTTCTTTTGTTTACTCGATGCTTTTGATTTTCATAAATATTTTTATACAGGGCCGCTCCAAGTTGGCTTAGGCCCCTGGGAAAAAATTATATTGTCAAGCTCCAAAATTTACATGTCATCTATACAATCATATTGTAAACATAATTATAAAGATTTTTTGATATATAGCCACTGTGTCATGAAATGACTTTTAATTCAAACCTCTTTTCTCGAGAAAAACTTTTAGGGGTATGATATTACAAGTATGTAGTACATTAGAGTTGGTTTTGAAAAAAAATGGTTTGAAATTTTTGATTATATTATATTTAAAATATTTGAAACTTGTTCTAACATATTTATTCTATAAATAAGCAGTGTACTTACAACTTTGAAACAACAACAAACAAAAAATCATTCAATTTCTTCAGAAAATTTAAAATAAAATCAGATTCTAGCTTAACAGATCTTCTCTATAAAGAAGATATAAGGAATGCTTGCTGTTGTAATCAATCAAACAGTTAAGAAGATTCTTAGGGTAGTCCAAATAATTTCTGGGTCTTTTGAACCATTGCCAGTGATGGTTGAAGCCATGATGGAGTGATACTGTTGTTTGCTCTAAATAGATGCCTAGTGAGTGGTTGTGGCAATCAATAAACTGTGTCACATGAAAAAAGACAGCATGTACTACCTCAAGCATCCAAACACTTCAGTGATACTTGTATTTTGGATGCTTGAGGTAGGAATCCTTAAATTCTTTATGATGAATGATAATACTTACTCTACTCTAGATGAATGACAACACTTACTCTACTCTAGATGAGGTATGATAGTACAAGTATTCTCCCCATATAGGGTAGTAGACATATATATACCACCATTATATTTGTCTTCTAACAAAGTATTTTTGAACATTTAATTTCTTGCTATTAACAAATTGTTTTGTTTGCAAGTGTTAAGGCCATCATGCAATGCAATATTACTTGATACCTCTTCAATGAAATGAAACTATCTTTGAAATTCCCTCATTAGTTTCATCTAGCAAGGCCCATGTTGCATGTTTCAGGAGTTAAAAAAAGAGAATTCTTTTCTAAGTGTTTATCTTGTTTATATAATGTGTCAAGAAACTTGAGTGGCTCTTTGTATAGCGCTACTTTCAAACTTACTCTTAAACAATAATAGAGTGGAATCATCTGCTCGAATGTCATTTAAAACTGATAAAGCAGCATTACCATTATCACTGCACGAATCAACAGCTGATTAATGATCGGCTGTTATTTTGTCATTTTTTATTATTATTCCATTTTTAAGGAAATTTCAAAAAATTTAAGGAAATTTTAACCTGTTTTTGTGAAATAATTGCATTTGATTGGCAAGCTTTGAAAAACTATTTGGAGTGCTGCAATATAGGAAGCTAATGATTATGAAATATTGTTAACAGAAACAATTACTTCAGGTATAATATAAAAAGGAACATTGCTGCTTGTTCACAATGAAGAAACTAACAAAGGATCAATATATATATATATATTTTTTCATGATAAGTGTAAACTTGATTAGTAGAATTCTCTGGGAAACTAGGCAATGAATATTCTGAAAAACTAGGCAATAAATCGTTACGATTATCATTTAATGGATTACTTTATATTTTGGTTTAGGATTTTTATCAATGAAATCATTATCAATATTATAGTAACATTTTGCATGTCTAACTAGCGACATGAAAGCTGTAAAGGTACATTTACAGGCATTCTGTAAACATTTAATTGAATAAACAATTTCGCCAATACTATTATGACATTGTAGATGATTTTGAAAAAAAATCAATTGAAAAAAATGTTTCAAAAAAGTACTACTTATATAGCAAATAAACTTTTTTATAACTTTTATCAGAAAAAAAAAACTATAAATTTAAATATATATATATATATATATATATATATATATATATATATATATATATATATATATATATATATATGCAATATATACATATTAAAGCACTATAAATCATAGTTGCCATCGTGCATTTATTGCATATATTAATATAATTTTATTAGAGTACTTTCATAGGTATGATGAAATTATTCAATACATTATTTCAACATGCAACATGACTAAAAATCATAATATATAACATGCAATAATGATTTTTATTAGTTATCTCAGCAAAAATAAAAAAATATGTACATAGTGTAAAGTATACTTTTATTGTATACATATATATCTAGTTGTTATCATATGATAACTAAAATAGTTGTTGTTAATATAACTAAAATGCTGCTGTTGTTAATATAACTAAAATGCTGCTATTGTTAATATAACTAAAATGACACCATTATCATATTTATTTAATAATATTTATGTATTAAATATTTTTGTTTATTACTGTTATATTATAACATAACAAAATTAACTTTAACAACATTGACGTTTAACATTAACAATATTATTTAACAATTTTATTTACAGTTATGTTACAGGGTTTTGCAAAGTTATAGGTGCACGCTTGCAAAGTTATAAGTGCACGTTTGCAAAGTTATAAGTGTACGTTTGCAAAGTTATAAGTGCACGTTTGCAAAGTTATAAGTGCATTTATAAAATTAATTTTAACCCTTAAATTTAAAATATTAAAGGAAAAAAAGTACAGAAAATAATTACAGAAGAAACTAAAAATACATTTATTTAATGAGAAATTGTGAAAAATATTGAATGAAGGAATTGTTCAACGCTTGTAATTTAACTCAAAATGTTGTAAGTCGCGTTATAAAAAATAGTGATAAAAATATACCCTTCACGTCATCTGTAGTAAAAAGGAAATAAACGTATAAAATTAAAAATTCCATAAATACAAACATCGAACAGACATTATTTATTTCCGCGGTTTTTAACAATGCCGTAATTCAAAAATTAATTAAAACGCAATTTTTAGATTAAAATGATAAAAACATTTTGATCTCATTTGTTTCCCTTAATTTTAAGAAATTATTTTTGAGACGAAAAAGATTAGTAATCATTTCTCAAGAAAGAAACACTATGGAAAAAACAAATCGGAGATCAATTTTTGCGGCAGAAATAACTAAAATTGCTTATTCAAATTTGATTTTTTTAGACGAAACCAGATTCAATAAACTTGCAATGCGCTCATATGTCTATTCTCCAAAAGAAAAAAAAGCATAATTGACAGTTCCTGCAAATATAGGACAGAATGTTAGCCTCATGTGTTTATTTTCCGATTCAGAAGTTAAATGTTTCCAATACAAAAAGGGCCACATACAATACACAATCACTTATTGATTTCATCAACAATAAACTAGTACCATTCTTTGCAGTATATCCAAATAAAATTCTTAAAATAGATAATGTAAAATTTTATACAGCAGCTGCAGCACTTTAATTACTAAAAGAAAAAAATACTATTCACAAGTTTTTAGTACCAAACTCCCCTGAATTGAACCCAATTGAAGAGTTCTTTTTATTGTTAAAATCCAATTTCAAATCCACAAGAAATGCTAATATTGATATGACTATTGAAGATACTCAATATTATATTTTATCTCCCTGAAAATAATTAAAGTCAACAGTGCAATGCCTTTTATATAAATATGAGAAAATCGTTGGAAAAGGCTATAAGGAGAGAAGAATTTATCTAATTAAAATATTTGAAATGATTTGTTTTTTTGTTTTTTATAAATATATATTTTTATATGCCATTTTATAAATTTATGATTAAATAATGAACACTATTTTTAAAAATTATGGAAAATAAGTAACTAATGTAGAAAAGTTATTGATATATAACGATATGCTAATTTAAGTATAAATGTAAAGAATTTTTACTGATTAATCACTTTTTTTAAGGAAAAAAAAACAACTTTTTAATTGCTATAATATAATTTAATTTTATATTTTGCTCAAACTTTTTCATTTTTAAACTAAAAAAAAGAATTTTCAAAAAAATATATATACGCACTTAAAACTTTGCAAGCGTGCAGTTATAACTTTGCAACCGTGCACTTATAACTTTGCAAACATGCACTTATAACTTTGCAAACATGCACTTATAACTTTGCAAACATGCACTTACAACTTTGCAAAACCCTGTAACAACATTACTTGTGTGATGTTAACAGATTACCAGTTAACTGGTAATCTTATGTGACTTTATTTAATTAGACTAATGTTATTATTTTATATAATTAATGTTATTATGGTATAATTTTTATAACTTCAAAATAATGTTAACATAACTAAAATAATTGTATTAACATAGCTAGTTATGTTAATATAATTTATATAAAATAATAAAATTAGTCTAATTAAATAAAGTCACATAAATTAAACTAATTCATGTAGTAATGTACTACAAACCGAAGGTCTTACCTAATTTTTAACAACTGAAAATCAATATTTTCCTTGCTTAACATATTTAATACAATATTACTAAAATATTACAAACCAAATATTTCTTTATGAAAAAGTTAACTATGTATGTGCTTAAAATTGCCATGCAACAATAAAAGTTACACTAAAATTTTCAGTAAAACTGTAAATGGTTAATTACAAGTGTGGTTTTAAGCGCACAAGCGTAACCTTGAAGTGCACAATTTTTGTAGCCAAAAAGACGCTACCCTAAGTGTCGTATTTTTTGTCCACACTATTTTTAAGCGTGTATTATGAATGTATGTATGTATGTATGTATGTATGTATGTATGTATGTATGTATGTATGTTATATATAATTGCAATGATATGGACAATTATAAATATCATTATGTAAATGTAGTAATTTTTGTGCTTTTTTCTCTTCAGGTTTACGATTTTGTGAAGCAGGAATTAATTTACCTTATGCAGCAGAAAATCTAAATAATGAAGATAAGGAAAAGTATAAAAAAGTAGTTGCCAGTTTGACCAGGTATTTTTAAAAAAAGTTGTTGCCAGTCTAACCAGTTTTTTTGTTTTAATGGTTTATCAGTTTTTTTGTTGGGTAGTTTAACACAACTTTTATGTAAAAAATCAACTTTAAAGTTTGGATCCCCAACTGCCTTAACTCATTAATCAGGCATTAATTACAATTTTTCAATTTAGAAAAATACTCAAAATGCTGTTCAAAAATTTTTGACAAATTTGAATTTTAATGTTAGTTTTTTTCACTTCTGCTTCTGCAGTTTTTTTTTACTCAGACTTTTTTTACAGCTTGTGATCTAAGACTCTTCCTTTCATTCCTTTCATTCCTTTCATTCCTTTCATTTCTTTCATTCCTTTCATTCCTTTCATTCCTTTCATTCCTTTCATTCCTTTCATTCCATTTTAAAAGGTCATGTGATTTTTCTGATGTGTACAACTGTCATCATTTTTTTTTTTTTTGAGTTTTATAAACTCCTATATTTAAGAAAAACATTTTCTGTCAATAAATAAAGATCAATGACATCAATGAAAAATTTTTTTCTACAAAATTGCTTGATATAGCTATAGAGATTTTATCTCTCATTAAATTTTGAGATGAGGCCACAGCTCTAGAGATGAGGCCACAGCTCTAGAGATATTAACTCTGGATACTTGAAAGGTTTTTAACAAAGTCTGAATTCCTAATAATAATAATAATAATAATAATTTTATTATTATTATTATTATTTTTATTATTATGATAAAAAATATTCAATTTTTTATTAATAAATTTAATTTATTAATATGATGCAATTAATTTTTAATTGTATCATAAACTTTAATGTTGAATAAATTATCAAGTCTGCAGATTGCGGCTAACATTATACAGACCCCGAGAACCAAAAAAAAAATGGAGAAGGCGAGCTTCGACTAAAACAATAATTTTAATTTTGTTGGTATGCATTCATTATGTAGTTTCTATCAAATAAAATTAGCCCAAATATTTTTTTTAAACATTTTCTTTAATATGAACACAACTTGTCTCGGCAGTTGGGGATCCCTTTAAAAAGTCAAAATTTTTAAACAAGTGTTTTAAATATTAATCATGTTTTTATTTTTTAATCGATTTTTCATTTATTTTAAATATAAATAAAAATAAAAAATCTCTGAAAAATAAGTTGTTTATTTTTTTATTTTGAAAGTCTACTAAGTTTTATTTTTTTAATTACATTTAAGTATACTTATACTTATTTTAAATGTAATAAAAAAATAAAACTATAATACTCTATAACAATTAGACATGTGTAGAAAAGTTCATGGTGCATGATATTTAACCATTGTCAAATAACTGTTTTGTTATAAGAAGTGGGAAGCAAACGGCTGTGTTTATTTACCATAGAAAGCTTTGGAAGTCTTTTTAAACCAAACATTAATAATTTTGGACTATTTCTTTCAAAGTTATAAATGGTTTAAAATTCTTTTTTGTTCTTTTTTCTTAATGTAATTTTTTATTCAAAAAAGTTTTATTAAGATTTGCATTTCAAGGTTTGTTGTCTTTAGGGAAAAATTTAAAAGATTTTTGTCATCCTCCTCATCATCATCATCATCATCATCATCATCATCATCATCATCATCATCATCATCATCATCATCATCATCATCATCATTGTTATCATCATCATAATCATCTTCATCATCGCATTCATCACATCACATTGTGATTTTAAATGTTTATATAATAAAAAGGTAAATAAAATACATGTATGCAGTATTTTGAATTTTTTATTGATTAGAATAAGCGAGGAAATAAAGGAACGTCTTGTGATCCTCAATAATGATGAGCGTGTCATAGATACATCTTTTGATGAAATTAACAATCTTCCTGTTGTTAATGAAATGAATAGCAACCATGAAAAAAATAAAATTTGTGATAAACAAGATGATCTTTCAGTTGATGATTCTAAAGATAAAACATGGCAGGATGTACAAGAGTTATTACGAATTGATGAGGGTATTTTAATTTTCCAATTATACTTAATTTATTTGAAATTAATACTTGAATATTTTTTAAACTAATTTAATTTTATACAAAAGTTTTTAATTTGTTATTATTAATCTGTGAAGGTGTAAATATGCTACATGTTGATAATAAAGGATCAGTCAGCACTTGGATGTTGCCTTGTAATATTGAGATCTTTCAAATAATAAAACAGTCTATAGGTAAGCAAATTTTATTAGAACTTACTATAAGTATTTTTAACGAATCTTTTTTATATCTAGTTTACCTTCTGTTAGAATAGAAAAAGGAAAACTTGGTAAAAACATTCTGAATAATAGTAATGAGATTTAAAAAGGTGATTAAGTAAAAGACAGGGAAAGGTAAAAGTTAATCTTTCATGTGGCAGTGTTGCTAGGTGATGGAAATCTTTATTAAATCCTAAAAACTTTATTATGTTCTAGTCTGTAAAATAGACCAGAGCATAAAAAATTGTTAAGTATGTATATATGTACTTTAAAAACTTTGTCAAGTTTTAATGATAAATAACTAAATTGCATCAGAGTCAAACCTGCATATATTGTTAATCTCAAGTGAGTTGCTGGTTAGAAAAAATCTTTAGGCTAAATGTTACAGGAACCTAAGTTGATGTTAGAATCTGTTTATCATGTTGTAAGAAAGCTAGTGTAAAGTGTAAGGTTGAATGACATTATAAGGGCAAATATGAATGAATTATAAAAATAATAGGTAGGAGAATAACATTTACCTCAATAAGTTTATTTAATGTATATCTGTAGATGTACTGTGTATGTATGTACGAGGGCTGTTCAATAATTATTGAGACTAATTACTATTACTCAAAATTCAATCAGTACAAAAATGTCATTACTTTTCAACATCCCAGTCCCAGCAACACTTATATACTTGTTTCATAATTCTGCTAATTTGTAAATGCCACTTGCATACCAGGTACTTTTGCACCTGATTTTGGCGTTGTCATGAAAGAAAATCATGCCTTCAGTCAAGGGCCCACAGGTTGTGTTCAAATGGCAGATCTTACCTTATTTTTAAATATGTCATCGTATAACTAGCTGTTGATTGTTCTTTAACCTTTAAGAAAATTACAATAGATTGGCCCGTCGAAAGCCCAGAATACTGTAAGCATGACTTTACCAGCGGATGGCTGGGTCCTGAATTCTTCCCAAAATGGGAGAATTTGTTTGCTTTCACTTAAGGCTCTGGCTCATAGTTCACTGATTTGAGGTTGGGTTTGTTCTGTTCACTGATTTGAGGTTGGGTTTGAGGATTTGTGAGTTGTTTGGACACCCATTTTGCAAAGGTTTTCCTGTACTGCAGCTTGTTGTGAATAATGTTATGAACAGTTCTGACACTCATGTTTATTTTTTCACTTATTAGTTCAACATTCAAGTGACTATTGTCCCAAATTAATGTGTTAATCCAAGATTCGAGCAAAGAAGTCCTAACTTTGACCGGTCCTACAAATAGTTGCTTATCAGAAATTTTTGTACTTTTACTTTAAAACTGTTATACCCATTTTGTAAACAATCAAATGATTCAACTCTACTTTTGCGACTAAAAATCGGACCACTGCACTTTCAGATGTCATCGCAACTTATAATCTGACCATGGTACAGTATGTTCAGATGTCATCGCAAGGTTGCCAACTTTATGTCTTAAAAGTTTTTTTTGAATAATAACCATTTTTGAATAATAGTAAATTGTATCGTTAATTATTTAATGACCCTTACACACACACACACACACACACACACACACACACACACACACACACACAGACACACACACACACACAGATATATATATATATATATATATATATATATATATATATATATATATATATATATATATATAGTGAAAACTAAATAATTATTAAGATATATTTCAATTACGTAACTAAAAGTTTCACGCAATGATCATCAGATGTAACAACAATAAAAAGTAACAACAAAAATTATATACAAAAAATGCTATGGAGTGTCCGCTTTGATGACATTAAAGTTTTTTATTAGAAATTTATTTTCATGGCGGCATTTTGACGCAAGCTCGGTTCGTTTGTTAAGCAAATTCTATGGCGACGTAATAATGTGGTATTTTTCTGTCAAGCATAAATTGCAAAATTTACCATCAGGTTTGAATGGCTCTGCTTGATCGAGGATATTCCATTTTAATATAGGTTCTATACCTTTATTTTTGCATTCCCACACAAATTTCGAAAGTTCAGTGCAGTTGGCCTTACTTTCATAAACAAAGGAGTTTTTATGTTTATACCACCTGTCTTTGAAAGTTTTCTCAGTAAGTCCAACATAATAATATCATTCTTCTTCTTGGTGAGTTTTTGTGTTGCAAATATAAATAAGATTTTTTGTAAGGCATTTTCCATTGAGTGGGCATAAGGTGGTTTGCCGAAAATTGCATAATTGATTGGCATTTTCATGAGAATGAAATAATATCTTTTTATTATGAGAAGTAACAATACTTTTGATGTTTGGAAGACAGCTATAACTAACCTTTAAGTTGTTTCGATTAAAAAGTTTGTGAAATTTGTGGCCTATCATCAAGCAAAGAAGCTTTTGATAGAGCCGCACCATTTTATAATAACGTTTTTTATAAAACAAAAACAATAAACTCACGACTACAAAAGTAATAACACTTTAGTCACTAACTGCATTATAAAAGTAATAAAACTATAATAATGTTATTACATTTATAAAGCACTTATTACTTTTAGAGTTCATTCTTTGTTCAAATTATTATTAATTCCAAACATTTATTAAAATAGAAAAGCATCTGGAAAAAATAAAGCTGATATTCAAATATTATTCAAAATTTGGGTAATTTTAAAATTAACGCGCGTTTTTACGGTCCATTAGTAACTTTTTTCACAATGCTAAACTTTTAATACGATACGTTTTCATAAAGTTGTTTATCATGTTTTTATAAGTTACTTTAGTTTTATTATTATTTGAACATTTTTATTTTTTTATTTTTATTCTTTTATTCTTTATTCTTTTAGATATTTTTCTACTTTAATTAAAATTTGGGAATAATAATGTTGCTTGAACAAAGAATGAATTTTAAAAGTTATAAGTGCGTTATAAAAGTAATAACACTATTATAGTGTTATTACTTTTGTAATGCAGTTAGTGACTAGAGTGTTATTACTTTTGTAGTCGCGAGTTTATTGTTTTTGTTTTGTTTTTTGTAACTTTCTTGTACTTTTGTAATCGTAAGTTTATTGTTTTATTTTTTATTTTTTCGCAAACAAATTTGAGTTGATTCCCCCTTAAAAACAAGGAACACGGTTTTGTATAAACTAAAATTTTGAATACTAGATATTTTTCCAGATTTTGCGTTTTGCATTCGCTTAATTCAACCCTTGTTGTTACATTAAAATTATATGAATAAATTTTACAAACACATTGCAATTTGTATTTTTGCTATCCTCTTAAAAAAATTAAGAAAAGGAAAATCATTCTTTTTATTGTAGACTTCAAACTGTTTTTTTTTTTGCTTCGCCTTATCTAATTTTTGTTGCTGAATGTAACTCTAAAGAAACAAAAATAAAAACAGTACACAAATTATTTAAATTATTAATTTGTTTTAATTTTTTTCTATTTCAATCTCTTTTAATTTTGTTAGTTATGTTTTTGAAACTTTTTCAGCATTATTATATAACTTGCAAATGGCCGTGTTCACGTTTTCTAAAATAGTGTAATCGCGTGTGGTCATACGGGAAAAAAAAACGCACGCCTTTCCTGGGAAGGCTTGATATATATACAGGCTTGTAGAGCCGCAAAAATCGAGCGGCTCTTGGCTCGTGTTTTTTTTAAATGAATAGAATTTATATATATATTTTTTTACTGTAGACAAACTTTATTTATTGTTTAACTAATTTGTTGAATGAATTATTATTGAATTTCTATTTTACCGAAATATTTTTTCTTACAGTTATGGTCTTGCCAATATGTAATAAAAATGATTATTTAAATGATTTTATACTCAACAAAATACTATCCTTTAGTAGCAATTCTTAATATGCTTTATTAAAAAAAAGTAAATTGTATATGAAAACATTACAGTATTACATATATTGCTTTATATTATATTATATTTTTTATTTATATTTATTACATTATATTTTTATACTGGTGCTATGCTGTTAAATATTTGATGCACAATTTAATGATCAAAGGTTATTCATATCTTTAAAATTATACTAAAGCATGCGATCTTTAAATTTGCACCAATGATTTTTGTTTTAAAACACATTGTTAAATTTTTTTTTCTAACACATTCTTTACACATTTCTATTCACTCTATAATCACTGTTATATTCTATATCACTATTATATTCACTATTATATCACTATCTATATCACTATTATATTAGATCTATATCACTATTATATTCACTCTAACACATTTCTAACACATTGTTACTCACTAACATATTGTTAATTTTTTACTTTTGCGTAATTTTAAAATTACGCGTTTTTTTTCGCATAATTTTAAAACTTTCATGTAATTTTAAAATTACATTAAGTAATTATAGAAATACGAAAAAAAAATTCTGCACAACTATCTAAAAAATCCCTCTGCATTGTTACTTTCAATTGCTAAAGCATCTGAATCTAGCAAAGCTACTCTTTGTATGGCCATAAAACAATACAAGAGCTCTCTATCGAATGAGCAAAAAATCTGGTAGAAAGAGTGGTTTTAATGGTAAGGATAAAAAAATCCTTGCTTATCAAACAGAAAATGAGCCAAAAAGTATAAAGTTTCAAAGTTTTTTAAAGAATAAATTTTGGCAAGCAATATGCAGCTGTGGTTTGAGATCTCAAACTTTGGTCACATCGTCAACTTCAAACTCGGATGTTTACATCAAAGAATACTTGCAAGCTAGGCTTATGCAATTTTATTGAAGTCATGATGTCCCCTGTTAGTTCTGGCATAATCTTGTATCTTGTCATAATTCTAAGAAAAGTGGTACAATTCGAAAGACATCAAACTTATACCAAAAAGCTTGAATCCATCAATCTGCATACAGTTTTGTCCCATTGAGAAATATTGGGGAATTGGCAAAGGATATTTGTGAAGAGTGGCAAAACAATAAGTACAGCTAAAGATTTGATTAGAGAGTGGATATATGTAGGAAAAAAATTCCCAAAGACACTGTACAGAAGTTGATGTCATCGATTAGCGTAAATGTTCACTAATTATTTGAAATAATGAAAAATATTAAAATAAAAAGAACTTTTATAATCTTATAAGTTTTTACATTAATTGAACTATTTTGAATTTTTTTTTGAATTTTTTATAGTTTTGAATTTAACGATCACAAGTTTTACCCAGTGGCCATGGGACATACAACAGGGGTCTTTTAAACATCTTTGGAGTGTTTTGAATGTCTTTTGAACGTTCAAAATATGTTTTTTTAGGTCCTGTGCCCACTGGGTATCACATAGGCACGGGACCTAAAAAAGGGCTCAGTGAGGAAGTAAGAAAGATGTCTTTTAAACGTCTTTTGAATGTTTTTGATGCCTTTTGAACGTTTTTGACGTCTTTAAGGCGTTCAAAAGACATTTTTTCAGGTATTGTGCTCCCTGGGTAGAATTAGAACTAAAATTTAAACTAAAAACTAATTTTGGGTAAATAATATATAGAAAAAAGTGTTTATTTTCCTGAAATTTTTCTTTTCAAGCGTAATATCTGGTAGTAATATTTGTAGAAAATCACTTAACAAAAAAAAATTTTTGTTAAGTGATTTTCTACAAATATATATATATATATATATATATGTATATATATATATATATATATATATATATATATATATATATATATATATATATATATATATATATATATATATATATATATATTTGTAGAAAATCACTTAACAAAAATTTTTTTAAAGCCGTTGCGTATAAACTTTTTTGAAAAAAAAGTTTATATGCAACGGCTTTTTATTTTAATATATATTATTCGATATTTCGCTGATCTATTGTGAAAAAAATGAAAAAGAAAGAAAAATATGATAAATTACAAACTAAATCCAATATAAAAAATACTCTTAGAATCGACTCTCCGAATCAAGCTGTTAAGCCTGCTATACTTAATTTAACTAATGCTATTTTGGATGAAGCAACAACTAAATCACTCAATCTAGGTCCAAAGTTTGTACCATTACCGAAGAAAATCCCTTATATCGCCATTATAACAAATGTTAAAATGTGCGTTTTGCGACTTGAAAAACAGGATAAATCAACACAGGCAGAATCTCTGAGACAAAACTAAAATTTTGACGAATTCACTAAAACTAAGATTAAAAGATAACTTAACTTGAAAAATAACAACAACGTATTTCTATAAGAAAATTAATAATGAATTCAGATATTAAGGCACAGGTTTCGGATTACTATACGAAAGGGATGCATGTATTAAACTAGAAGAACAAATTAAAAATAGAAAAATTATTATGACCCAACACCCACACTTATTACCAAATTTCAAAAACAATTGTGTAAATTAAGAAAAGAGGGTAAGTTAGACACAATTGTGTATATTAAAATGTATCCATCAGATTGCGTACCACCTAAATTATATGAAATGATTAAGGCGCACAAACCCGAAAAAGATTACTTAATGCGTCCTGTTGTATCAACACCACCATATGGAACCTCCAAATATCTTGTTAATATCGTTCAACCGACACTAAACAAAAACAAAAATAGACTTATTAATTCAAATAATTTTGTTAATGAAACCAGACATTGGAAAATAGATCCCAATGAAGTTCAAGTTTCTTTTGATATAGTTAATTTATATCCGTTCATACCTATTAATGAAGCTATTCCAGTTATTATTGATAAATTAAATAATGACATCGATGGCTTGAAGACTTGAGCAAAACTTTCGCTTGTAAACATACCAATTAATAGAACTTTCATTGAGTATTTGCTACTTTTTATATGAGAGCAAAATCTGATTTATACATAATTCAGATCCTATAGGTTTGTTCTTGATGGTTGTTATGACGGAAACATTTCTACAAAATATAGAAAGAAAAGCACTTAATATAGCTACTATTCATACATGTGAACCCAAAACTTTCATGAGATATGTAGGCGATTGTCACACTCACTTTGACTCAATAAAAGAACAACAAATGTTTCTAAGTATCCAAAACGAACAAAATCCTGCCATAAAATACACTGTTGAACTCAAAAACCACCAAAAACAACTTAATTTTTTAGATATTATTATTACGAACACAATGCATGGAGCTTATGAATTTCAAATACATTGAAAAGAAGCAATAACTAATTTTCAACTTAAACCAAGTTGAAATATCAATCCTAATATTATCACTGGCGTATTCAAAGGGTTTTTATGTCGTGCAAAAAGAATATGTTCACAAAATAACCTCCAACAAGAAATTGATTTTTTAATAAAAATATTTGTTGAAAACGGGCACAACAAGAACAATTTAATTAATATTGCCAGAGATTATATAAAAATAGATTAAAAAAATACCAATTATCTACCAAACATTTATTAAGCTACCATGAAGACCCAAGGTCCCAAACTTAGTTAAGATTTTTAAAAATAAAACATAAAAGTTATATTTACATCAACTCCAAATTTAAACAAAATATTCTGTTACAATAAAACTTCATCTAAATACAAACCCAGGCGTCTACCAAATAAAATGTTTATACAACTCTATATACATTGGTGAAAAAAAAAAAAAAATTTATTAAGATGTATTGAGCACCAAAAAAATAGTAAAAAAGGAAAATGGGCCAGTTCGGGTGCTACTGACCATTCCAAATCATGCTAAGGTACCTTTGACTGGTTAAGCCCGAAAACCTTATCAGTTGCCCCAGAAAATCATATTCTGAAAATTCAAAAATCTCTAGAAATAAACAAAGCTAAAGTTAGACAAGATTTGTGAAATGGCAACATTTAATCCTATTTTGTGTTTGCTTATGCTCTTTTTAATGTTATCTTTTTAACGGTTTGTTTTTATTATAACGATTATCTTTGTTACGATATTTATTTATTATAACTGATGACGCTGATCACAATAGATTGGCGAAATATCGAATAATATATATTAAAATAAAAAATATATAAATTCTTTTATATAAAGTATAAAAAAGACAAAAACTAAGAATAAAAAGAATTTTTTTTTTTTTGCAGTAATAAATTCTTACTTATCTAAATGATACCTCAAAAGTATATACAAATATAAAAGCACATTTAGTTCAGCAATCTGGCGTAATATTAAATGTTATAGGGACCAGCAAAAACACGCTATTTTGTTATATTATAAATGAAAGTATTTTTTTAAAATTTAAGTATTCTTTTGTGTCTATTATCTCAAAGTGCAAAAAACAAAATAAAAACTTAAAGAAAGTTGTCTCATGTATTAAATGTCATGTATTTGATGAACTTTTATACAAAAAATAATATTGCTTTCAGGTAAATTTAATTACTTTAAAGAATAATTTGAGAATTTTTTTTTATTTAAATTACACAAATAGTTAATTAAAAAAATAAAAAAAGTTACTTTTATAAATTTGTTTCCAATTTATCAATGAAATTGTAGTGTTAAGAAATTTTTTTGATATTTTTGCATCCATCAAAAAATTTTGAACCATCTATTTGGGTCTCAATATAAGCAAATTCAATAAGTCTCACTTCACTTTTTTAGTTAGTTGCATAGTTCATTGCATAGTTCGTTGCATAGTCCGTTGCATAGTCCCTTGCATGCATCCTGAAACTTCTTTCATGCTTTTAACAGATATTTGACTATTTTTAATCAGATTTTTTACTTTGATTTCCAACATGGCTGCCATCAACCACTCTTTTTCCATGTTTCTACTGCTAAGAGGTTTCAATTAAAACAGTTTATGAAAATATGATAGCGTTGTTGGAGTAGAAGCTTATATTGGTTTATAGAGTAGAAGTATTGGTTACTGTTTGGTTATTGTCGGAGTAGAAGCTTATATTGGTTACTGTTTCTGGAAAGGTTAACAATCTCTAAAATTGGAGCGACAAAAAAAGTCTCATGTGCTAACATCTGTTATAAAGGCCATATTTTTACAAATTTCATGGTACAAAAATTCTACTGTAAATATTATCACTTGTGTTTTGGTAAAATGAGCTGCCTGCGATTGATTCTGTTTAAAACAGTGAAAATTCTCTGCAAAGTCAACCTTGAAACAGTATTAACTGAATCACTTTTGGAGGTGCGTCATTATTGCAAGTTAGTTACATTAAGTTGACAGTTTTGCAAATGTTAAGTTTTGCGATGTTAAGTTAGCATACTTATATATGTTAAAATGCTATGCAAATTTAAGTATGAGATATTGACCCAATAGGTGTTAAATCTTAAAAAGGAAAAAAAAATTATATAATCTTCTATGTTTTGTATCAATGTCAATTATCATTTATTGTCAATTATCATTTATTATCAATCATTAAATTATTTTGATAATTTTATTTATTTTAAATACTATAAAGATATACTTTGAATGGCTCTACCATTTATTATTTATTTTTTATTTAGAAAAATTATTTCCAGCATAGTAGTAGTATTAGTTATTTTAGATTTTTTAATTTTATTATAAATATTTTTATTTAGAAAAAATATCACCAGCAGGTTTCATTAAATGTGGAGATTGGATCTACCCTTTGGAGCCTGGTAAATCACCAGTTCTTAAAACAAAAAAGAAAACTTATATATTTCCTGATTTAAGTGAATCTAGTCAGGTATAAAACTCTACATTATCTGTTAAGTGTAGCACATTTAACATGGGTTCTTTAAGTCATTACATTTAACTAGATTTTATGAAACCTAAGTTGGTTGGGATTGTATTAAAATAACATAAATTTTTCGTTTTTCGAACTTTGCTAAGCTTTTCATTTTAAATCTGTTTCATTCTTAAAAAATTTTTCTAAATTTTTTTTCTGTTTAACTTTTAGTTTATTACTGACATCTAAAAGAATTTTTTGTTAAAAAATATTTAGCAACAAGTTTCTGAAGCTTCTAGTCTTCCTTGCATAGGTATAATTCTTTCTGAAATTGTTCCAGAAAAACTTGTTAAAAGATTTGAGAGGATTTTGTCTTGTTATTGTGATTTTCGTGTTGAAAAACCAGTGCGTCCTCCTTTGCCATCAATTCAATTAGGTAAATATTTTAACTAAAACTTTTGATATGTTTATTAGTTATGCTAAAAAAGTTTATTAATTTTTACCAAATTAGTTTAATCATTTATAAATTTTTTTTTTTTTAAATAAATTTATTATTTTATGAGATTTAAAAAATTGTTTCAATCTCAGTTTACTAAATTTGGCAAATGCTGCACAATTGAATGGTGAGATTGATGGTACATTTTTTTAAGGCTTATAAAAATTTTTTTTGTTTCCATATTACCCCTTACTTGCATTTTACTTGTCTGTTTGACCTATCTACATATATACTGATTTTTCATACATAAATAAACATCAGTTTATTTGAAATCATCAAGTTGGACTATCTCTATTTTAGCCTCATGCAAGCAAAAACATTTTGGACTTAATTCCATATAAAACAGAGCAGAAATTCAAAAATTATTACGAGCTCTCTTAGACATTCTTCAAGTTTCAACCAGTGTTATCAATTTATTAACCAATCAGTCAATCATAAAAAAAGTACAAAATTTAAGTATCTAACCATTCAAAACTTTTTGAAATTCAAAACCACAATAAACCATTCAAAAGTTTTTGAAATTCAGCCTAAAATGACTTTTTTTTTTTTGTTTATGTGCAGACATTATGGATTTTGCAGTGGTAGCTTTTATATAAATAATTTAAACTCTATTGGAAGAAACCAACTGGTCAGTTTGTACCTGACTGTTTTTGATGTTGAATACAAAAATATAGAGAAAATAAAGTGCATTTATAATTTTTGGTTGTCATTTCTTTTTTTCAAATTTTCAAGTCAAATTTTCTCTGTTACCACAAGTTCTACTTTCATTATTTTCTTTAAAAAATTTATTTTATTTAAAAAATAAATTAAAATTTATTCTTTATTATAGATTTTTTAAAAGTTTTAAAATTTTTTGAATCAAAAGAAGAAAACATTTCTTATTATTGTTTAGTGATTTAAATGCCAGGATTTTAAATGTGGAAAACAATAATCAATGTCATGTTAACAACTTGTCTCCATCATTATCTCATGTTTATCTCATCATGTTTACTTAAACCACCCCCATCATAAATATGTTTACTTAAAATGTTATGAAACACATTGCAATCTAATTTATATCCAGTGAAATTTTTTTATGTAATCCATTTTATACCCAGTGACATTTTTTATCTCTTGAATTTTAAAAGTGTTGACAATTGCAATAATAGTTTTGTAATCTCAGGTACAGAAAAAGTATGCAGTAAATATGTAGTAAATATGCAGTGAATATGCAGATACTTTTGTTACTTATGTAGTAAATATGCAGTGAATATGCAGATACTTTTGTTACTTATGTAGTAAATATGCAGTGAATATGCAGATACTTTTGTTACTTATGTAGTAAATATGCAGTGAATATGCAGATACTTTTGTTACTTATGTAGTAAATATGCAGTATAATCAAATGCAGATACCTTTGTTCTTATGCAGTAAATACAAATTAGGAGCAAATGAAAAGCTTTGTCTACAATGCATATGTAAATTTGCATCAAATGATAAATCAGAAGTAAACTAGATGGAGATGATATTTATTGAAGGTGATATGAAAAAAAAAATTATGCTGGAGGAAACAAAGTCACTGCTAAACTTTGTGTTAACCTGATGTGTCTTATCTAAAGGTTTATTTAATCAAAACCTCTTCAAAGCCTTCACTTGAAAAGAGAAAGATTAAGCAAGTCAATGAAGAAGTTATTAAGAAATTTGCAACTGTTCTGGATGTCACTAATCTGATCTCGCTGCGCCAAACAGGTTTGGTTTGTAATTCCTTATTTAAGCCAAACCTGCTAATTTAGACAACTTTTGTTAGAGACATGGGAACTTAAAGTTTCTAAATTCGAATTTAAGGTTCTAAGGTTCTTTATAAGAAATCAAAATAGTCACTATGACTTATACACAGCTCATAAAAAATACAAAATAATTTTTCAACTGTAACTTTTTTCAATTTTCTTACTTTTTCATTTGAGTGAGGGTTTTCAATTTATGATTAAAAAAATGGTAGTCACTTAATAATTTCATGTGGATCAGTTGTTAGCTTTTGCCATTTTGTATACTTCTTTAGTTTCTTTATTCTTTAATTTAAAGCTTTATTAGTTTCTTTAACTGATTGTTTCCTTCTTATATAGCTGTGAATGGTTTTTGAATTTTTTTTAGAACTTATTAATAAACTTGTTTTATCAGCAATTTTCTCTAACTTGACTTTTTTTGTCAAATGATTCCTAAATAATTTATAACTGTTTTTTAATGTCTTTCCATTTCATATTCAAATTCTTATGCTGCATAGATTGTTTTGTTTTTAATATTTTTTTTAGTTCCTTAATCATCCAAGATTTTGTTTTCCAGAATAAATGATATGCAGATACTTTTTTTAAAAATTCATTCCAGCCAACAAATATATATTTGGCTTTGTTATAGGCATAATAAAATCTGGTGTTATTTTCTTCATTATTAAACTGCTTTCCTATATCTAGGTACCAAGGTATATAAAGTTACCAAGCTAAAACATAATGACCTCTATTATTATTTCCAAGCAATGGTTGCCATGATTAATTTTGTATGCCAAAGCATGTATAGTTAGTTATTATTAAATTGAAAACAGTTATTAAATTTGATAACTTGTACGAAGCAGTCGGGTAAAGAACTGATTGGAAGGTTCATCTTTTGTATACCAGTTATTTAACTGTTTGTTGAGTTTAACTACCATTTCTAATGTTGTAATAAAAATCTCCATTTGAATTAATATTATTTTTTGTTCTTGACATATTTCTCCTGTTGCAAATTAAATCTTTAAGTTTATGTTTGATCTGGCTTGTTAAATACTTTTTCTTTTAAGCCTCTTAACGTTCAGATTTTCTTAATAATGCATTTGTTGCAGCTTTGTCTCAATTATCTTACTCAGTCTCTTTGTTTGAGCTTTGTCCTTTAGCATTATAATAAATAGAGCATTATTATTGTTAGGCTTCAGTTTTAAAACATTTTGGTAACATTCACCAGTTTGTAACAGAGTTGATCATGTTAATTTCATCACTTGATTTAGTAATCTTTATCAAATGACTTGCTCCAATTCAATGTGTTATTGTTTTTCCAAAATTCTAATTCTTTTAGATAATAATTCATTATTGTTTTCAAGCTTTTTTATTTTGTCCAAGTTATCACTCCTCTTCCAATCTATTCCATTTGATAGCTCTTTAATTATTATTTTAATAATAGTTTATATTATAAATAATTTATTTGAAGTTTTATTTATATAATTTATGTGAAATTCTATTTTTTTATTATATAAAAACATTTAAGTATTTATTTTAATATTTTTATTTAATAAAATATGTAAATGATTTTTGTTTTTTATATTATTACATTAATATATTATATGTTATCAAGTGTAGTTCATACTATACAATGTGGTTTATTTTTATTTTATTTTTAATACAAGATAACTTAAACATATATTTTAATCTAAATAAAATAAACATGTTTTTTAAAAACTTAAAAAGAAATTCTATTTGAATTTTGTCATTGTTATTTTCTAAATCTTATATTTTTGTTAACAAAAAATGATTGGTGAAACATCAATCTGTTATACTAGGAAATTCATCCTGATTGAAAAGTATCATTATATTGATGCTTTTGAATCAGGTGAAAATCAAATTGTTGCTCCAAGTGCACCAAGTGAAGATCAGGTTGTTGTTCCAAGTGCACCTAGTGAAGATGTTATTGAAGAGATAATTGCATCACCTGCATTACCATCAGATGTTATTCAAAATAAATGGCCAGACAGGATTACTTCTGGAATACGAATTGGTTCACAATGGATTTCATGGGGTTTTGTCAAAGGTGCAGAGTGTGCCACTTCTTTAGTAGAAAAAGTAAGTTTTGTTAGATTTTTAAGTTGTAAAAATGTTTTATAGCTTTCCTATGTAAAGTAGAACCAAAATTTCTGATTTCTAATATTTTAGGGAGCACAATCATTACGAAAAAGAATTAAACCTAACCAAGAGGTCACTTTAGTTGACCCAGATCTTTCACGCAACATGCGCCATTTATATCAAGCTACTGGTTCTATTGTACAAATAAGCACTTTTTTGCTTTCAACACTTGGCGCCATGACTGTTTTGCTGGGCAAAAAATTGGCACCTCATATAGAGCATCATGGACAAAAAGTGAGAAAAATAATTACAAAAAATACTTATATTGTAATAAATAAATATAATAATTTTACTTATATTTTTTAATATTTGTTTTCTTTCAGTTAGTTAACAATAATTTTATATTTATTTACTTATTAGCTTCTGCCAGCTAATTATCAATATGAAAGTAATGAAAAAAACAAAAAAACAGTTGAAAATGTCAAAAAAGTTGCCTCTGCAAGTTTAGAAGGTATAAAAGTTTTATTTTTTAAAAGGTTAATAAGTGCTTTTTTGTATTTTATTCAGAATTTTTGCTATATATTAGGGTTTGGCTTAATATTTTTGGCTCTTGAACAAGCTGGTGCGAACTTGTATAAAGGAATATCTATAGCAACTGTGCAAACACTTGAGCACAGGTAATCAGGATATGTATTTGTGTGTGTAATATCTATAAATATTGTTATTATTTTTGTTATTATTATAATTACTATTATTAATATTACATTTAAATTAAGATGGTTCAATGTGGTAAATTAAATGCAGTAAAACAAAACAAAATCAATTAAAAGAAAAACATTTTTGTTTTAATAGTAAGTTAGAGTAAAATTATGACCTTTTAATTTTTCTTAATAAGATTTTTTTTTATTGTTGAAGGTATGGTAATGAAGTTGGAGAAATAACCCAAGATGCAATGGGTGTTGCTGGAAACACAATGCAGGTATTTTTTAAAGAGGTTTATCAGATACATAAATGGTTTTGTTTTTGAAACATTTAAAATTTTTTTTTGTAACTTTATACATGCAGGCATATTGGAATTTAAAGAAACTTGGTGCAAAGTAAGTTTTATCTATATTCAAAAAATTGTTGTTGTTTTAACTTACTGTTTATCATAATCAGATTTAAGCAATTGGGGCATGCAAAGCTCCTTACCATAATGAAAGCAAGTTAAAGAAAAAAAAATCTACAAAAACTCTGATTTAAATGTGGGTAAGGGTAGATAGAGCTCTCAAATCTCAGATGGTTATTCTCTAAGGTAGTATCACAATAAAAGTACTCAATCTCAGATGGTTATTCTCCTAGGTAGTATCACAATAAAAGTATTCAATCCCAGATGGTTATTCTCTAAGGTAATATCACAATAAAAGTACTCAATCTCAGATGGTAATTCTCTTGATCTCTAAAACTGTTTATTGTTAGGAAGGCCAAAAAATTGTAAAAATTGCTTTTAAGTAAGAAAAGGACAAAAACCCGTCTAAACAAGTAAAATCATGGATATTATACTTCAAAAAATAATCACTCTAGTTCCACATATGTCTTTTAAACTAATATACTAAATAATAATTTTATGCAGAATATCTAGATTCTGGAGAAAATAAAAATCCAAAAACATGTTTCATGACAAATAGATGAATGAATATATGTCCTGGCAAACATATACTGATTCACCTATTTTTCATGAAATTAGGTTTGAATCTTCTTTTTTTGTGATTTTATTTAACGCCACTTTGCTTAATCAGTTTTTTCTTTGTTATTTATTGGCTCTTTTTTCCCAAGACTCCATTCTTTTAAATCTTATTTCTAACTGAGATTTCTGACCTTACTTTCTTGTCTGTTTTAATACAAGCCTCACTATTTCCCATAGTTTTTCTATTTATGTGCAGCCATATCCTTTGTAATTATTTCTTTTTAACCAGTACAAATCTTCTGAGAATATATACTATTTTATTATTTTAAGAAACCGATTTGAAAAGTTTTGTTGCTAACATTGTTTTGAGAATACTTACATCTTGCATTTTATATCTAAAGTTAGGTTCTTAAGAACATCTTAAATAGTGTTATTACATTACATAAAGTGGTAATGTAATTTACCACTTTGCTTAATTAGCTTTTTCTTTGTTATTTATTGGTCTCTTTTTTCCCAAGACTCCATTCTTTTAAATCTTATTTCTAACTGACACTTTTAAGATTATGACAGCAACAGCGTTGTCGTTAGTTGTTAAACCTAATGATTACACTCTTGCTGACCAGACCAGATCAGACAATCAACAGATCAATTCTTAATTATCCTAAACGTTTTGAATTCCACAACTAAAGTTATTTATTATTTAAACTTTCTACAATCTTTCTTCCACTGGTCCAGATAACATTCCTTTACACTTTCTTGCAAAAAGTTTGCTCTAGGACTGTATGCAAATCATTCTTCTTTCTATTCTTAGCAAAGTCTTCGAGAAATTAAAAAATGTTTCATCTTGAGTCCAACAACTTACTTTTTGGCAATTAACACACATTTCAAATTTCTTCAGATTTTACTTTCTTTGGTATCCAGATATTCTGCATAAATGAGTTTTTAGTATAATAGTTTCAAAGACTTTTGAGCCATCAGAGTGACTATTTTTTATTTTTATTACTTTTATAAGATAACAAAAAGAGCCTTAACAATTTTATAAGATAACAAAAAGAGTCTAATGCATCTTAAGCAGATGCATCTGCCCAAGATGCATTAGACTACTATATTGATATCTTGCTTTATTCATCGAAAAGCAGATGAGTATTTTAAATTAGTTCTTCCTACTTCTTCTTCTTCTTCTTCTTCTTCTTCTTCTTCTTCTTCTTTCTTCTAGTTTTTACGTAAAAAAAAGTAAGTAAGCAGCAGGACTTGGAACACTATGTGGAACTATAGGTTCCCATGTACCTTGTATACTAATAAATTAGTGTGTTAAAAAACCTTTCTTGTTACTACATTGTTTACTATGTTTTTTAAATAAGTTGATGTTTTATATGCATCATGTTTCGTTTACAAAATTAAAAATATTACTTTGTTCACAGAATACATAATTAAATACAATTTTTGTAAAGATGAGGAGTAGGCAGGTTTACACCAAAAGAGCTTTAAAAAAAAGCGTTAGTAAATTGTTCTTGTATTTAAACTTAGGAAATTAAATATTTTGTGAAGATAAGTCGCAGCTGTCACTTGCTGTCTCTTTTTCTAACATTGGACACAAATTGGTCAATCTATATGATTGGTTTGTTTTTGAACACAAAATGTAAACATTCAGCATAAAAGTTAAATGGTTTTTCTGACCACATTTCTAATAGGTAATAAGTTTAATGTTATTTATAAGATAGAATATATCATAACTTTTACAATTAAGCAGAAATTGACAAAAGTCATATTATTTTGTCTAGAAAAAATATCTGTTTTTATTATTTATGATTGATTTATGAATGATGGGACAGTTTAGAACATTTTTCATCTTTAATTCATTTTAATTTTCTGTCACATTAACATTTGATTAAGTTCTAATTTTTTTTAAATAAAAATGATTAGAAATTATTTTAAAAAATCAAAAAGGAATTATTTTAGTAGTTACGCTGTTGTCAAAAATTTAAACAGCTTTATGTAGCAAGTTTCTAATTTTTACAATATAAAATACAATGCTCATTAGTAACACATTAGCTCAATGCTCATTATTTAAACTGAATATTAAAACACATTACTAAGTATTAAAAAATTTGTTACCCAATACCAATCCAATGAGCTTTGATAAATCAAGACTAAGTTGCAAACCTTATTAAATCAAGGTTTACAACTGTTTCACAAGTGTTAAATAAAGATTAGGAGAGAATGTTGAAAGACTGCCTTCTTAAAAGCTCTCAATTAAGTTATGGTTTGACATATAAAAAAAGCAAAGAATTATCATTTCATTATGCTATGAAGCTTAGCGAATGTCCAGCTAAATGGTTAGGAAATAAGCAAAGAGGTATAAAATACAAGTTTGCCTTGCTCAGTAAGCTTGTCACCCTTAGCAAGTTTTAATCAGCACAATGTAAACAATTTTTTTGACTACTATGAAAAAAAAAATTAAAAAACTATAAGGCCATTGCTTTTAAAAAGACCAGAACATATAAAAAAACTAACCAAATGTCTGAAAGGTTATCCAGTTACTCTTAATGGATAATCATAAAAGCTATTCTAGATTAGACGCCATTAATTGTTGTTGTGAAAATGTAGTTTTGAAGTTTTCTTTACCACATCCAAAGCTTGCTCCAATTTTATGCTACGTTTAATTATCTCCGATGAACCTCATAATTTTGTTATGCATCAGGTTCCTAGCACATTGATGGCTTAATTATTAAAAAACAAGATGGCATGACTGAGGAGCAAAGTCAAAAAGTTGTTTTCTACGTCAATAAAACCACACTAAAACATCTAAATAACTAAGACCATTTCCAAAAGCTCTACCTCCTAAATAAACGAAACAAAAAGAAAAAGTAACAAGTTTTACTGACGCGCTAGAATGAGAAGAATTTAAAAAAGTTTATCTTTTACATAAAACAAAACTTTTAAAAATAAAAGTTTCAAGGTAAAATAAATATTATTTAATTGTTGAATTAAGTTAACCTTTAACTATGATTTTTAAGTTTTATTTGTAAAAGTTCAGATTTTGTTGTTATAAGTATTCTTATAAAGATTCTTATAAACATTATTTAAGATTTTTTTATTTTATCAAGTTGATAATTTTTTATTAACAATTATTTTAACAGAAGCTTACACGCGCACACAATTTTTAAAAAGTAATATTTACTTTTATAAATTATTATTATTATTTTTTTTGTGTTTGCTTCTTTTTCTCACTCTAAGCAAATCAAACTTTAATAGTTTCACGTTTGATTTGCTTAGAGTGATTATAACATTTGAACTGTATAACGTCTTGTTTGATTTGTTTAGAGTGATTATAACATTTGAACTGTATAACGTCTTGTTTGATTTGTTTAGAGTGATTATAACATTTGAACTGTATAACGCCTTGTTAGATTTGTTTAGAGTGATTATAACATTTGAACTGTATAAGAAAAAAGTTATTCATTTTTTACAAAAACAAACTTTAACCTTACAAAATTTAAAATTAACCTAATTATTAGTTTAAAGCTGCCCCCAACATGGGGCAGTTTTGAACTTTTAAAATTTATGAGAAACTTTTTATAAAAAAAAAGTTGTTTAAATAAATTGATTTATAAAAAAAAAGTTCAAAAGGTGTTTAAAGCTGCATCCTTTTCCCCTTTAAAATTATATATAAATATATTTAAAATCAAATAACTTCAATTATCAAAGATATTGAAATATGCTGTTAATCGGGATAATTTTTGTAAATTTGAGCCTCTGGTTTCTGATAAGTTTTTTCGATGATTTTTTGACAAGTGGTGAATCAGAAGTTTTTTGTGTTTTGATTTTCAAAACACTTTAGTTATCTGTCAAGAATCTTAAATCCTTTAAAATTTTAGAGTACATTAAAGGTTTTAGTTGCCTATCTTACATTAATGTTTTGAAAAGTATGCTCTAATCTTTTTAGCGCCATATATTTTTCTAATATACAAATTAATTTTTATTTTTTTTAGAGCTGTTGCTAAGCGAGTCGTGAAAGATACTGGAAAAGCTTGTGTTTTAGATCACGGCGATGTGCCTAAATAAAGTAATAATAGTGCACTACGTGTTCAAAACGATTAATTATGAAGCATTTAGCAGGCTATCAATTGCTAAATTGTAATTGTATTCATCTTTGAACTATTTAATTTGGCTATCAATTATTAATTTTTTAAAGTTGGAAACCCCCACAAAAAAAGTCAAATACAAAATTTTTTATGACGACATTTGGTAAAAGAAATAAATTTTTGCGTTGTAAATTTTAATGACGCTAAAGTAATTATAAACTACTTAAGCAAGAATTATTTATTGATCGATTTTTAGTGATTGCATTTTTTTACACCTAAATAATTTTATCGATGGTCTTTTTGAATTGCATACACTTATTTTTAAATAATAATTATGTAAATAACATTTTTGTTTAATAAGTTAAATCTATTTTTATTTATTTTTTTGTCTATATTTTTCGTAGCTTTGGATGTGGTCATACATTTTTTTTAAAGATGGTTTTCTAATTAAATTTAAAATCTATTAATAAATTTTAAGCTATTAACAGATAAATCAAAATTTTGTCAAATAACGAATTTCGGGCGCTTTTTTGTTCCACCGCACAGTGGCTGGCCCACTTTTTCTGGACAAAATTCACAGCTAATTTAATATTAGAGCTATATTCACTAAAATTAGCATGATTGCTAATATGATGTCTGCGCTTTTTATGAAGGTTATATTTTTTCATTTCGTTGCTATGGATATCTTTATTTTGCTTAGCAACAACCTATTTTTGTTATTTGCAGATATTTTATGAGTGCTATATTCCTTAAATTTGGCATGAGTACCAATATGAGATCACACTTATTATAAAAGTGATAATTTTTTAAAATTTAGTTGCTATGGATACTTATATTGCTTAGTTACCCGATACTTTCCTTAGTTACAAAGATGTAGAATATTCTATCAACTTACATCATTGTAACTAAAGAATTTTTATGTATTTTAAAATTGAATATTTTAATTTACATAAAAAAATTATAAAACAATAACATCGTTTAGGATTGTTTAAGTAATTGTAAATTATCTGAAGGAAATGCTTTATGATTTATTTGGCGTGATCTTGATTTACACAGCGATGAAATAACAGAATCACTGGAAACTAGGAGTCTATAAATAAGATCAGTATTTGTTGCTTTTTTGGATGTTTTTCGGATGAAATTTTCGCGATAAGTCTTTATTTCTAGCCTCTTGAGCCTCCTCTGACATAAGTCCTATGGGTAATGTAAGGTTTTTAATTATGTCATGTCCATGTATCAATACTTTGTGAAATGATTGAGCCATGTTATACCATGGATAAAGAGTCACATATAGTCTAACAGTGTCAAAATAATAATCCTTAAATTTTAAGCTGTCTATTTCATATCCTGAAGAAAGCGTTACCAAGATAATGTAAAATCTGAAAATAAGGTTTTGATCAATTCAATTATATTTTGGAAGCAAACGGACGTGTTTTCAACTGCTGTAAAAGAAATCGATTGAAGATTAAAAATAAATAAATAAAATATCCATAAAAGTAATTTTGATTAAAGAAAGAAAGAAGGTAGTAAATAAAATATCCATAAAAGTAATTTTTAATTAAAGAAAGAAAGAAGAAAGTAAATAAAATATCCATAAAAGTAATTTTTGATTAAAGAAAGAAAGAAGAAAGGTTTTGCTGTATTTTTATTATTTATTCAAAAACTTGCTTGTTTATTTGAAAGTAGTTTTGCTGAAAGTTTGTTGTTGAAAGTTGTTTTGCTTTTTGCTATATTGTTGTTAAAAGTTTTGTGTTGAGAGTTGAAATTTTTCTTTGTTGATGTTAGGTTTAAAGTTTGATTGAAAGTTATTTTGGAAGTTGTTGCAGTGTTGCGACTTTTCCTTAAAGTTTGAAACTTGAAAGATTTGGAAATTGAAAGTTTGTTGTTGTCTTTTTATTTTTTTTAGAAAAAGTGTCTTTTTTTCTTTTAAATTTGTTTAAGTAAAAGTTGCTTTTAAAGTTGTTTGCCGGATTTGAAAGATGATTATTGAGTGAGTCGTTATTGTTTTTAATTGTGCGAATGAAAAATATGAATGAAAAATATTGAGAAACTAATATCTAAGCTTGAAGATCAGAAGCAAAACATTTTAAAAGAAACTGAAAAACTATTAAAAAAACAAGAAGAAACTTTTACAAAAATAATGAGCTTTAACATAAAAATAATATCAGACAGACTAGATAAACTTGAAAAAGAACTTAGTTTTAATAAATCCCGAGTTGAAATACTAGAAAAAGATACTAGCGACATTAAAGATAGTATAAATTTCCAAGAGGAAAACATCAAGGAAATGCTGTCTCAACTAAATTTAAAGATCAATGAAGAAATAAATACTTTGAAAAAAAATATATAGATCTAGAAAATAGATCTCGCTGCAATAATTTAAGAGTTGATGGTGTTGCAGAACTATTGTTTGAAAAGTGGGATGACTGTGCAAGAGCAGTTAAAAAGATCTTTAAAAACCAGCTTGGAATTGCCGATAATATAGTGGTTGAGCGAGCCCATCGAATAGGGAGAGTTAAAGACAAGCTACCAAGAACTATAGTCCTTAAACTCCTAAATTATAACGATAAATGCAAAATTTTAACATCTGTGAAAAAACTTAAGGGCACTGGAATTTTTATCAATGAAGATTATGCAAAAGAAACCTTAGAACATCGTAAAAAATTGTGGGAAGAAGTTAAAAGACATCCTAAAGAAGGTAAGTATGCAGTGATCAAATTTGATAAAATTTTTGGTAAAGATATGCATAATTAAAATAATGTAGTCGCGGAAATGAAATAAGATTCTAACTCTCACTGGAATGGCTGAAATTAGCAATTTTAAGCATCAAGCTTTTAACTTTTCAAAAATGAAAACTTTAATAGACCCTAATTATTCTCATGATTTAAATAACGATTGCTTTTACTATTATCCTAGTGAAATAGAAGGATCTCTTTTTAATTTCAATAACAGCGAACAAATTAAAATCCTTCACGTAAATATTAGAAGCATAAGTCACAACTTTGAAAAGCTCCTTTACTTATTAGAAGAAACTAAAAATGTTTTTAATATTATTTGTTTAACTGAAACTTGGATAAACGCAAACGATTTAAGTAATAACGCAAACTTTTATCTTTTGCCGTTTTGAGTTAATATCCCAAGAGAGACATACAAATAAACGCGGTGGGGGAGTTCTTATTTACGTGAAAGAAACCATTGCGCATTACGTTAGGAATGATTTAAGTGTTTCTGACGGCGATAAAGAAATTTTAACAATTGAAATCTTAAACAATAAATCTTAAAATGTATTACTAAGCTGCTGTTATCGACCACCTGACGGTCTGAGTGAGAATCTGAGCACGTTTTTTTTGGCAAAATGTTATAAAAATAGGCATTAAAGAAAAAAAAAAAATTTATTATTGGCGATCTAAACATGAATTTTTTAAACTACGAGAAAGACTGTAAAATAAAAAAATTTTATGATTTAATATTTGAAATATGAGCAATTCCTTTAATTAATCGTCCAACTATAGTTGGATGATTAATTAAAGGAATTGCTCATATTTCAAATATATATACTCTAGTATTAGAGTATCAGCAAACTCAGCAACTCTCATTGATAACATTATTACAACTGATGTCTTCAATAACATATATATATATATATATATATATACAAATAGGTATATAGAAAGCAGATATAACTGATCATTTTCCAATATTTCTATCATTCAACTCAAATTCTAAAATTAAAACCAAAACTAATAATAAAATAAGTAAACGCATATATAATATAAACAATATTGAACAGTTTAAAAAACAATTACCACTGCTTCATTGGAAGCATATAAATTTTAATGACGACGCAAATAAAATTTATGAAAATTTTTTTAAAACATTTTATTCTGTGTATGATGCCAATTTTCCCATCTGTGAACAAACAATAAATCAAAAAAGCTTAAATGCTCCTTGGATGACTAAGGGTTTTAAAAAATCATCTAAGATCAAACAAAAGCTATATAAATTACTTAAAAACAAAAACACCTTTGAACGAAAAAATATACAAAGATTACAAATATCTATTTGAAAAAACTCGTAAAAACTTAAAAAAGAATTACTACTCAAAATTAATTGAAAATGTTAAGAACGACTCTAAACGTACTTGGAAAATATTAAGAGAAATTGGCGGAAAACAAAAAACTTGCTCAGGTTCCCTACCGCAGGTGATTAGAGTGGATAACAAAGATATTTTTGAACCTAGATTAATAGCTCATGAGTTTAACAAATTCTTTATTGATATCGGTTCGAAACTAGCAAATAAAGTTCCTAATACCCAATTTGTGTTCAATAAATTTTTAACATTGATGGATGATTGCATTTGTTCAAATAATTTATCTTCTGAGCTATCATTTGAGGAGTTTGAAGTGTCGTTTAAATCTGTTAAAAAAAACAAAGCCCCTGGAGCTGATGAAATAAATGGAAACATAGTCTTAGAATGCTTTGAACAATTAAAAGATATTCTCTTTAAAGTTTTCAGAGCGTCAATACAACAAGGAGTTTTTCCTGATAAGTTAAAAATAGCTAAGATAATCCCAATATACAAAGAAGGAGACAGAACTAATATATGTAACTACCGACCTATTTCTACTTTATCAACATTTTCAAAAATCTTAGAAAAAATTATTTACTATAGATTATATACTTATTTTAAGGAGAAGAATTTTTTTTATAAAAATCAGTTTGGCTTTAAAAAAAATAGTTCTACTGAGCATGCAATCATTCAATTCGTCCGTGAAATCTCCAACTCTTTCAAAAATTCCCAATTCACTTTAGGTATTTTTTTGGATTTATCAAAAGCATTTGATACAGTAAATCATGGCATTTTGATTCATAAACTTAAATATTATGGAGTGGATGGTGTAATTTTGAAGTGGTTTAAAAGTTATTTAACAAACCGAAAACAATTCGTTTCTTTTAACGATCCTTATCAAAAAAATGTTTTAGATATTTCATGTGGTGTTCCTAAAAGATCAATTTTCGGGACACTTCTTTTTTTAATATGCATTAATGACTTGCATAAAGCTTCTAATCTTTTAAGTATTATGTTTGCGGAT